CGGAGGATAATATTATGGCGGGACACCGTAAGTAATCGTAATGGCTATTATAATATTGATTATAATAAAATGTACTAATAATCTTGCGGAGCCCTAGCGTGAGCTGGAGGCTGGCGCAGTGCTAGCACGTGAGTCGTACTCGGTGGCTGGTGCACCGTGCAGTACACTGGCGCATGAGATGGCGGCTGGTGTACGCTGGCGCGTGAGTTGATATGACGGGCGCAGTGCTAGCACGTGAGTCGTACTCGGTGGCTGGTGTGTAGTATTACTTCAACGCCGCGCGAGCGCGGCAGAGCCCACTACGACGTCTGCGACCCACGCGTTTTATCATAGATAAATACATATTGTACAAGAGAGCAGCAGAAACACTAAACGGAGGCGACAGTGCAGACAAGACGTTGCACGCCTGAACATGCTGACTAAACGACGCTTAAGCCTATCCGGGACGAGCTGGGGCCAACGAGCACGCAAATCATCCCATTGACTTCGCATTCTGTCTCCGGCCAGTACACGACCTGATGCTCTGCGTTCTGCCCAAGACCGAGAGTCTTTCCCTTTTAGGACGTGGGTGATGTAACGTCTCAGGCGCCTTCTAAGTTTGCTCCAGTTGTCAGACGGCTCAAAGGGAACGTCGTGAATTGCTAGCAAGCGACGCAACGGCTGAAGAGATATTCGATCGACTACAGAGCTTAGTATCCGGGCCTGAAGGGAACCGTCCGAGCCAACGACGACGAGGGACGATAGCGTGTTTCTTCACGCAACTGCAGAGCAGCAGAGGGCATACACGGAGTAGTTGTAGCGCAAAATAGAGCGTGCAGTGCAGTTCCATCAGCAGGATACGAAAAAAAAGGAAGGCACGCGAAAGAACGAGAGTACGGAGCTCAGGAGCACACACTATCAAGATCTTACCGTGGGAGTTTCAAAACAAACCGTGAGACGGGCACGTGACAGGTTGACGCGATATCATTGTAGTCTTTTTGGAGGACAATTGGCATCACACGACCCACTACTGGTCGTAGTGGGAATGCTGGCGCAGTGCTGGCACATGGCGGCTGGCGCAGTGCTAGCGCGTGAGTCGGACTCGGCGGCTGGTGTAGTACGCTGGCGCAGTGCTAGCGCGTGAGATGGCGGCTGGCGCAGTGCTAGCGCGTGAGTCGAACTCGGCGGCTGGTGTAGTACGCTGGCGCAGTGCTGGCGCGTGAGTCGAACTCGGCGGCTGGTGTAGTACGCTGGCGCAGTGCTGGCGCGTGAGTTGTACTCGGTGGCTGGTGCACCGCGTAGTACGCTGGCGCAGTGCTAGCGCGTGAGATGGTGGCTGGCGCAGTGCTAGCGCGTGAGTCGGACTCGGCGGCTGGTGTAGTACGCTGGCGCAGTGCTGGCGCGTGAGTCGGACTCGGCGGCTGGTGCACCGTGTAGTACGCTGGCGCAGTGCTAGCGCGTGAGTCGGCAGTGTTGGCGCGTGAATTAGCGGCGCCCCCTCCGCACCGAACCGCACCCTATACCTGTTCGTGAGCTGGAGGGTGGCGTAGTGGCAGGCGACATATGAGGGTGACGAAATTCTATTCACCGTGATGAGGAGCATGTATCTTATTGAGATTCATGTCAACGTGCGACGAAACCTTCTGTTGCCTCCGTTCTCCAAAATCAGAGACATTAAAAAATCTGAACCCTACCCGATTTGAACGGATGACCTTGAGGAAACTAGATATCACGTGACACGGATTGCTGGAATCTCACGCGCTACCGCTGCGCCAAGGGTCCACGTTGAATTGAATGGAGGAACCCATAATGACAAGAAGCGAGAGGACGTCTAATATTACTGCATCCTACATCTAGACCCGAAAGCTAATGCAAAGCTAACCATAAATCAAACACAATCCGGTCCGCAAAGGTATCATGATGCTAGGTATGATGTTGCACCACGCTGGCCACGCTCTCCAACCGAACAACACCCAGCCCGCCGTCTCATGCGCCGCCAGCATTATTTTGTCGGTGGTATCCTATGGCGTGGTGAACCGTCCGCCGCGGCAGGCGGTAACGGTCGACGAGGCACCGCAGCGCAGTGGAGACGTCTACTGAAAGGATATCAACTCGCGCACAGGGACAGCGAGGGGGAAGACGTACAAAAGGTCTAGCCAGACAGCCTAATGGCCCTCACCGTCATCCCGAATGATCTCCTTGGTGAGCATAATGCGCGCGTGCGACGCTGGCCCAAGGACCTCCCCACGCGATCTGCTGAGGCTATCAGAGACGCAGTTGCAACCAGCGAGGCGATGCTATTTTGGAGACACGTACCGATTCGACGGAGCAGCGAACCGACTGCTAAAGTTCTCCAGGTCCACAAAATCGACGGTCCGCTCGACCTGCGCTTTCGGCTTCGCGTCACGCAGGTGGTGACGGACGTTTAGCCTATAGAGTGGTCAGCGATCGCACGGCACGTTATGTATGCAAGTACGTACACAGCAAGCAGCGAGTTGACGTAGACTACGTGTGCACATGTGAGCATGACAGTATGAGAACACGCTGCGTGGTGCTTACTTTTGGTACTTGGTATGTGGAAGATCATCCAGATAAACGATGAGTTGTGGTATGTGGCGAGATACTGGTGCTGTGTGAGCGGAGATAAGGATGACGGTACAGGACGGAATACTCACGGTGGCAAAGTGGAGCAGCTGGACAGTACTACACACGGCGACATGGTAAGCACTCAGCTTCTCATTGCCTTATACGGTACTCACGCGGTAAGGATACCTCTGTGGATCGCATAGACTGTCAGTTTGTCAAGAAGGGTCTTCGTGCTAAAACAATGCGTCAGGTACATGCGGCAGTGGTATCCGAGAAAATACCTGACCGTTCAAAGCCGCTTTGCGATCCACGCAATACGACGCAGAGCGATAGGGTGATGTAGATGTCGGTAATGACGGCAGCGACCTGTTGCAGACACGCAGGGATCTCTGCCTTCGTCAAAATGAACATCAGGCCATGGTTCAGCGATCTATGAACTGTCGTTAAGGCCGGAAATTCATCGTCAATCAAGAAGAACACTCACGAGATGTAGCAGACGCCTGGATATGGAAGAAAACAGTTCAGCAAATACGCCGAGCCAAGTGTACCATATACTGACCGACACCGCCAGCTACAGATCGTCACTCGTTAGCGAAGAAGATATTGTCAAAAGCAACAGAACGCACCAAAACATGCGAGGGCCAAGACCGTCACGATTCCGGTCAAATGATAACGGTACCATTTACCGGCAAGAACTTGGTGACGTGAGTGAGAACGTCACAAATGACCACGTGAAGAATGCTTACGAGCCCAAATCTTGTTGATGAAGTAGCTGCAGAAAACATCAGAAACAATCACTTCATAACAATGGCGTAGACGTACCATTGCACCAAGAAGAATGTCAAGGACTGAAACAGGTGAGTCCGGATTCAATCGCGAGATGGTGGGGAATACGCACTGCGACAAAGAACTCGACCTTATGAGAACTGGTCAGCTAACACCTGCGGCGAAGAAGGTCCAATGCTTACAATCCAGACGCTGCGAGGGGAATAAAGTTAATACGCTGTCACGATAATGCGAACAGGACAGCTTACGTAGGGACTGCATTGAGGGCGCCAGGGTTGGAATGGTTGGTGACGACGGTGTCCCAGAGATACTGTACGACTACCCTTAGCGTCCTGAAGGGAAAAGCGACTCCAGACACACCTCAATGTCGAGAATCAATGACACCAAATCAAGTGCACTGTCATATCAAAATAAGCCAGTATTCCATCGGCGTCCCGCTGCGAATACAAACCTGAGGAAGGCCACCTATATCCAGAGGAAACTGAGAAGACGCAAAGGAGATTGGTATCTCGCAGACGTACCAGGAGTTTAAGGAATGGACGATCATTAGGATAGGTGCGAAAGTAAAAGAGGGTCTGTGCGCAGGTACAGCTGTAGAATCTGTGTTCCACTTGTCAGACATAGCGCAGCGTAGCGTAGCAAGACCAGATCAGACGCACAGTATGGCGAAGAGTACACCGATGAAAAGACAGCCGACGGTGGGATCTAAGTGAAGGTTTGGGCCCGCCATGCCTGCCTGCCGCGACAGAAAGTGGTCGTCGCGATGGTTGCTGGAGAGTTTTATACAACCTAGCGGTTGAGTGCACGCGCAAGCTGACTGGCTCCGCGGGGAGTTTCCACATTATGCACCACACGAATGGTTTTCGCGGTGGACCGATCGGGTGAGCCGGCTTTGAGATTTGCCACCGTACGCCACCAAATCTCGGGCGCCTGTACGCATTGCCTAATCCAGCCTGACCCTCGACTTTGGAAAAGGAAAGTCGTGCCTCGTCGTTGTCGCCTGCGTCCAACCTCCATCTCGCAAGGCGCAACGTCGACCTCAAACGTACCGACAATGTAGCTCACCGACCTCCCCGACCCTGAGATCTACCAAGCGTAACAGAGGGACGTCGCCATCGACACCGGCAGCATAATTGGATCTAGTCGCCTCTGGTGGCTCTAAATTTCCCTGCGAAGGCTGTCGAAAACGGTCGTCTCCTTGCGGCGTTCGAGGCTCTCGTGGGGCCGCGCCCTACCGCATGTGCTGGTGCGCGCAAAGTACCGGGGCCTCAGATGCAACAGTTCTGATGGTCCTGACGCGCCGTGGCGGCCGATACTGGCAGGGGCGCTGGCAGCGCTGGCGCAGGGCAGGCCTATATTGTCTCGTCGCTGGATCAACTGGCACCGATCGTCGAATGCGAACTCGAACTTGTAGACGGTTCAGTTATCCCAGAGAACATATGGTGCTGCTTTCCTTCGACATGCGGACAGTATCCTGCTGCACCAAACTAGGGAACCGATCGCGATATACGCAAGTCCGAATATGCCCGGCCGACGTTGATGATCACGCTTGCGATCCATGCTCTGATCTTCTTTATTGCTGACAATCTTCTCGGCGCAATTGAAATTCTCCATATTGCTATCTGCCAAGGTGCATCGAATAGCTTTCATCTCATCATTGCGAAGTGCGCCCTATCTGGTACGCCGGGCATTGCCAATACATCCTCACCACATGCTACTGGAGCCTGGCGCAACTCCTCTCCAATCTCATCGGGCTCAGGCTACCGGTAAGCGTAATGTTTGAGTCCGACGGGGGACGCCCCGTACGTGAAGTGCCCTGAAGTGCCCAGCAGAGCCGGTCGTCAGCCGCGCCCGTCATCAGAACAGAATCTATAAAGGGTCTGCGGCGTATGGGCCTGAAAGGGCGAGGCCCGCCCGCTTCGAGGCCAAGCCACCCGGCCGAGTGCACAACGCATTTTGCGTCCTGCTGAGGACATGTTGCGCCGCGATGGGCTCAGTAGCCAGGCATACGAGCGACAAGATCGTGGCGTGTCACCGCGATCCAGCAGCGCGCTACGATCGGTTGCGTTAGCAGACTTCCACAGAATCCGGCATCTAATCTCCCTATTCACCCTTGTTGCCGCGACACTCGACGGCTACTGGCCTTCTGCTCCTTGATACGTATATCGCTTGTGCGATGTCAGAACATCTAGGCCCTTTGTACTTAAAGGACCGTTATCCGCTATCTTCAGGTGTAAATGTACGCAGCCTGAGTGCGGGGGATACTGGCTATCGATCGACTTGTGTGGCGTCGCGCTGCTACGGTGGATAAAAGTGCATGAATTGACTATCTGGCGTCATCATATCATGTAGTGCGACGATCAACATCTCCACATGGTAGAGTTCATACAGAGCGCATGACTTGTCCCGCAGTCACCGACATGGCGACCGAAAAGGGGGAAAGTCGTCCCGGCATGCCGTTAACAGCACCAGCTGAGACTCTTCTTGGCTGCAGCGCATAATAGTAATAATGTTATCGCGAAGAATAGTATAGGTGACGCCGGTGTGACCAGCACATCTGCCATGTTTGATCAGTTAGTGCTTCTATTGTCAAGTAGAGCAAGGCTCACAAGGCTCAGCCGGTTAAGCCCAGAGTGTTAACTTATTGAACTCCAGAGTGCCGTGCTCCGTATGCTTGGCCACAAAGAGGGCGCCGAGATAGGTCGCTGTTGGCACGGGTTGTAGGTAAGGGGTCTGCAAAGAGAGCAGGACGGACACACCTTCGTCTAGGCCTGACTCCTTACAGGGCGTCGTTTCCAAGCCGGCCGCCTGCAGTGCCACCATCACCTGACCGTACGTCCCCCGGAAGAGCGAGCCAGGCATTGGCGGCTGAACGCTATCCGTGCTCGCGACGCTCCATCGCGAGAAGCGGTTCGGTGCCGTGCGATACTCCGGATTGGCCCACTCCGTCGCGGGGGAGGAGTCCATGCCCGCAGCGACCACCGCGCGAGCGATCCTGCGCTTGAGCCTCAAGATGCGGTTCGGCGATAATTTATGGGGGGACTGATAGTACGGGGATTGAAATTGGATGTAGAGGCCATTGGTGTCGTAGTCCTCCTCCACGTGATTGGCGAGTGTCTCGGAAGACGCCGTCCCGAGAGTGTTGTGTGTGCGCACGGACGGCTCGCGCTTGAAGGATGGTGGCTTTGAACCAGAAGCCACCAGAGAGGAAGAGGAAGATTCGGAGCTCGACTTTGACGAACCACAGCGCGAAGATGAGCGCGAGCGGAAGGAGAGATGAGAGAATTCAACGAGGTAGGGGACTCCGTAGGAGTTGAACCTGATCTCGGGGGCCATTGTCAGATATGAGTGATATAACCAATGCCGGATTGGTACTAAGTAGCTCGGAGAGTGCGAGAGCGTAAGGAGCG